CAAGAGATACTAGGGGAAGAGCAGCTTTGAAATGTCGAGTAAAGATCTCCATTTGAGAAGGCTAGTGAGCAATTATGGGGAGTTGTTAAGTAGGCAGTTGGATATAAAAGGAGTTCTGAGGAGAGGTTGAGAGGAGATATACATTTATGACTCTTTGACATATAAATGATATTTAAAACCATGAGTTAAGAAGAGGTCACCAAGAAGAAAGTCAAAATATGTAGAGGGACAAAAGGGACACAGAGTTGAGCTCTGGAATGTTCAATATTTAGAGGTTAAACAAAGGAGGGAAATCCAAAATGAGATTAAGAGGGAGAGGACACTAAAGTAGGACAAAACAAAGAAACAGGAGAGAAAATAGTGGTCTTGTGCCATTCCTTTATTTTACTTTCTCTCTCTCTCTCTCTCTCTCTCTCTCTATTTTAGAAGTTTTAGATTTATAGAAATGTTACAAAGATAGTACAGAGTTCCCATATATATCCCATACCTATCTCCTTTATTACTAACTTGCTTCATTACTACATTTGCCAAAATTAATGATCCAGTGTTGACACATTATTATTAGCTAAAGTCCACGCTTTATTCAGATTTCCTATGTTTTTAACCTACTGTCCTTTTTCTGTTCCAGGATGCCATCCAGGATTCCACATTACATTTAGTTATCATGTCTCAGTCTTCTCATGGCTACAACAATTTCTTCATATATTTTAAATTTGTAATTTCCCTATAGCCCTGTCTCTCTAACTAAACTAAAACTATCTCAAGGGTAAATGGTGTGCCTTGTCTACTACAATGCAGCTCATATAATAGGTGTATTGGGCACAGTATTTAATGAATATTTGCTTAATAAATCTAGGAATGGAGAAAGACATGTAAAGCACCATTTAGCAATGCTATTCACGGGTTTTACAGGAATACCCATCTTAAGACTCCTCTCCACTTTTTCCCTAAAATAAGTTTCATGATAAGTAGTTCCTAGGCTTTAAGAACCATGTAACTAAAATAATAACAATAGTAGAACACAAAAGAAAGGGGATATAAAGATCAGCTCTAATCTCTGTAACTGTGTAGCTATAATTTTGTTTTCTGCTTCTTTCACCAAATATTATGTCATGGGTTGTTTTCTCCATTCTTTTTTTTTTTTTTTTTTTTTTTTTGGTACGCAGGCCTCTCACTGTTGTGACCTCTCCCAGTGGGGAGCACAGGCTCTGGACGCGCAGGCTTAGCGGCCATGGCTCACAGGCCCCAGCCACTCCGTGGCATGTGGGATCTTCCCGGACCGGGGCACGAACCCGTGTCTCCTGCATCGGCAGGCGGACTCTCAACCACTACGCCACCAGGGAAGCCCTGTTTTCTCCATTCTTATATTTAACGTGCATATAATGGCCCTTTTAGTAAATTTGCCATAATTTCCCCATTATTCCCTACCTATTGGCCATTTGGTTGTTTGAATACTGCAATTAACTTTTTCAATTCCAGAGCATACCCTGCTCTCCCTCTTTCAGAATCTTTCTTTAGCACGTATACCAAAATCAGGGTCAAAGAACAAGGCATAAGTGTATTTAACTTACTTCATACAAAATGTATAGCAGTTTGCATTGCCATAGTAATGTAAGTGTTTATTTTTTAAAGGAAAATATTTGGGTAACAGACAAATAATGATAAAATAATGCTAATCCATTTAAAAATAATTTTGACTTCTGACAAATAGGCAATTAATCAAGAAGCATTGTAGTTCTCTCTAATGAATGATTCTCTTCTGACACAAATTCATGAGATGAATGTTTCAACAAAGTGAGGACACATTTTGTATTTCACTTTTTTACTATTATTTATCATCTTAGAATCAGGTATAGATGCATTTTCCATAAATATTATAGATCAATTTGGTAGTAAAGTCTATTCATGTTTTAAAAGATGCATGAAATTTCAGACCCCAAAAGCTTACGTCCATGCCCAGATTTGCCTGGCCTTCCATAAGTCATAGCAATAAGGAAAATGTATGTGTTATATTCAGAATACTAAAATGGTTTTAACATAATAAATCAACTTTTAAACCACAGTTGATAAACAATTGATAATTTCTAAAATCAATGAGTTAGTCAATTGTGGGATTAATCTCACTTCACACATAACTTGCAATCACAAATAATAGCTTTGAATGAGACTAAAATCTCATATCTCTCTTAAGCTTGAACTCAGCAAGGCTAAGTCAAATGAAATGAAAGGAAACAAGCAGAATTATTGGTGTCTTCTTTTTTTTTTACATCTTTATTGGAGTATAATTGCTTTACAATGGTGTGTTAGTTTCTGCTTCATAACAAAGTGAATCAGTTATACATATACATATGTTCTCATATCTCTTCCCTCTTGCATCTCCCTCCCTCACACCCTCCCTATTCCACCCCTCCAGGCGGTCACAAAGCACTGAGCTGATCTCCCTGGGCTATGCAGCTGCTTCCCACTAGCTATCTACCTTACGTTTGGTAGTGTATATATGTCCATGCCTCTCTCTCACTTTGTCACAGCTTACCCATCCCCCTCCCCATATCCTCAAGTCCATTCTCTAGTAGGTCTGTGTCTTTGTTCCTGTCTTACCCCTAGGTTCCTCATGACATTTTTTTTTCTTAACTTCCATATATATCTGTTAGCATATGGTATTTGTCTTTGTCTTTCTGACCTACTTCACTCTATATGACAGACTCTAGGTCTATCCACCTCATTACAAATAGCTCAATTTTGTTTCTGTATATGGCTGAGTAATATTCCATTGTATATATGTGCCACATCTTCTTTATAGATTCATCCGATGATGGACACTTAGGTTGTTTCCATCTCCGGGCTATTGTAAATAGAGCTGCAATGAATATTTTGGTACACAACTCTTTTTGAATTATGGTTGTCTCAGGGTATATGCCCAGTAGTGGGATTGCTGGGTCATATGGTAGTTCTATTTGTAGTTTTTTAAGGAACCTCCATACTGTTCTCCATAGTGGCTGTACCAATTCACATTCCCACCAGCAGTGCAAGAGTGTTCCCTTTTCTCCACACCCTCTCCAGCATTTATTTTTTCTAGATTTTTTGATGATGGCCATTCTGACTGGTGTGAGATGATATCTCATTGTAGTTTTGATTTGCATTTCTCTAATGATTAATGATGTTGAGCATTCTTTCATGTGTTTGTTGGCAGTCTGTATATCTTCTTTGGAGAAATGTCTATTTAGGACTTCTGCCCATTTTTGGATTGGGTTGTTTGTTTTTTTGTTATTGAGCTGCATGAGCTGCTTGTAAATTTTGGAGATTAATCCTTTGTCAGTTGCTTCATCTGCAAATATTTTCTCCCATTCTGAGGGTTGTCTTTTGGTCTTGTTTATGGTTTCCTTTGCTCTGCAAAAGCTTTGAAGTTTCATTAGGTCCCATTTGTTTATTTTTGGTTTTATTTCCATTGCTCTAGGAGGTGGGTCAAAAAGGATCTTGCCGTGATTTATGTCATAGAGTGTTTTGCCTATGTTTTCCTCTAAGAGTTTGATAGTTTCTGGCCTTACATTTAGGTCTTTATAATCCATTTTGAGCTTATTTTTGTGTATGGTCTTAGAGAGTGATCTAATCTCATACTTTTACATGTACCTGTCCAGTTTTCCCAGCACCGCTTATTGAAGAGGCTGTCCTTTCTCCACTGTACATTCCTCCCTCCTTTGTCAAAGATAAGGTGACCATATGTGTGTGGGTTTACCTCTGGGCTTTCTATCCTGTTCCATTGATCTTTCTGTTTTAGTGCCAGTACCATACTGTCTTGATTACTGTAGCTTTGTACTATAGTCTGAAGTCAGGGAGCCTGATTCCTCCAGCTCTGTTTTTCGTTCTCAAGATTGCTTTGGCTATTCGGGGTATTTTGTGTTTCCATACAAATTGTGAATTTTTTTGTTCTATTGGTGTCTTTTGAGAGGCAGTGTGAAATAATGGAAAGTACACAGCAACCTGTAACTAAATCCTAAATTTATGACTGAATTTTGTGTCACTTTGAGCAAACAATTTCATCTTTTAAATGCTCAACCCACCCCCGTCCCCAAAAAAAACACTTCAGTGTCCTTACCTGAAAATTGGTAATAATTACCTTGAAGGGCTGTCAGAAGGACAGTCAATATAAGACAATACTTTGTGCTTGATATATAACATCTATTACTTTAATTATTTGATGTTAGTCGTGGTGGTATGGGGCGGGGGGGAGGGGCAGTGCAACCAAATGCCAGAAGGGGAATGTGGCAGAAGCCGAAAAGTAGAAAATTGCTCAGAAAAAGAAACCAGGAATTATGGTACAATTTTACTTGAATCTGGTTGAAATTAAAAAAAAAAAAAAAAAAAATGATGGCCTGAAGAAACATGATCTGCACACTCTATCCTCCAGATCCTGAACCAACTCATGGAAGGAAAAAGATAGCCCTGCCTGACCAAGGGAGAGTTCAAAAGCCCCTGATGACATTCATGACATTTTCAAGTCAAAGTATAGTCACCAAGGAACCTGTGAAAACAACTGATTCAGGGAACTCATGCAGGTAACCTGTGCTATTTGCTGGGACAAAGCCCAATGCCCAATGGGGCTGCAGGGAAAGCAGACAAAATGACCCATTGGAATCAGCATGGTGGGAAATAAGACCATATGCAACTCTTAGGAAAAGACCAGGTGGTTTTATTCATTTATGTTTTTTTTCATATACCATCAGCTCAACATCTTTTTCTCCTTTCAAATTCTGATCTACTCAGTATTTGCTTATCATGCACTACATGACAGGTGCTGTCACATACTTTATAAGTGGTAGAGCCAGTGAATTATGAGGATATCTGAGTTGTGTAGATGATCCAAACTAGAGTTCCATTATTTAAGTAACAAAGACAAAAGAAAAGTTTGAAACTTGAATTATCTGGACAGTTGTAGCTGGAAAGATTTGCTCATTCTACCTATCTCAGCTACTATTTCAGTAAAGATAATTCAAAAATTTATATTCCTCACCTGGATATTTCATTCTAGTTCTGTCCAACCTTTCTAGCAGCCCCCTAGATAAGGTATTGCTTCATGATCACAACAATTCTCTTTTGCCCCTGTGACAAAGACAGTGCTAATAATTCATTTTCCTCTTCTTCCTTAACAAGAGAAGGCTTGGTTTTTAGTAAGGCACATTGACTTCTCAGAATAAAGACTACATTTTCCTACCTCTCTTGTAGCTAGGTGTGGACATGTGATTTAAGTTCTGGCCAATGAGATGCTAGCATGTAGCACATCCAAGAAATGTTACAGGGAAATGCTATGCCTCTTCTCATCCCTTCCAGGATGCTAGAATGTGGACATGATAGCAAAAGCTCAAGTAGTCATCCTGAACTATGAAGCAAAAGCCTCATTTCTAATAACAAGATAGATGGAGCTGGAATGCCTACATTTAGAAGAGAGAAATAAACCTTCTTTGGTATTTTCTGTTACTCACTGCTGACAGTAATCCATATACTGATACACACTCACCTCCAATACCCAAGGAATTAAGACATTGATCCTACTTCTGCTGTAGCTCTAATCTATTTTTTACTATACATTTATATACTACCTAGACAGAGGTCCTCAATAATTACTTAAATGAATAATTACAGCTGCCTAATAACAGTACATCTTATCTCCATGTTCCCTGATGCTGTCCCCACATCTACCCCACTATTAAGACCCCTTTCCCTAAAACAATGCTTTTCTCATGTCTTTCATTGCCCCTTTAAAATTCTTTGATGATTTGCAACTATTTACAAAACAATATCCACACTCATTGATCATAATTCAAGGATCACAATGATAACCCTGCAATGATTCCCTTTGGGTTACACAGTGATGGGCAAGTGATGTTTTCCATGCTCTGTCGGGTGTGGTTAACTTATGTTTTCAAAACTCACTCTAGGGGCTTCCCTAGTGGCGCAGTGGTTGAGAGTCCGCCTGCCAATGCAGGGGACACGGGTTCATGCCCCGGTCCAGGAAGATCCCATATGCCGCGGAGCCTGCGCGTCCAGAGCCTGTGCTCCGCAGCGGGAGAGGCCACAGCAGTGAGGGGCCCACGTACGGCAAAAAAAAAAAAAAAAAAAAAGAAAAAAAAACTCACTCTAGTCTCCTTTGAGATTCATTTCTCTGTGCTCTCAAAGAAGGTATTATATACTTCTGCTTTGTTGTATTGGGTTGGCCAAAAATTTCATTCGGGTTTTTCTGTAATCTTACACATTTTACAGAAAACCCCAAACAAACTTTTTGGCTAGCTCAATATACACTATTTTCTTAAATTACCTCCTCATGGCTTTGTAATTCTGACAGAACAGGTGTCCAGTAAATATTTCTAAACTGAAGTAAATTTAAATACTTTTTTTCACTGATTGACCCTACGTCCTATTTGGACTAAACTGTCTTCTCTTGTTTATGTGTCATTTGCTCATGCTACTTATTTTTCCTGTAACATCATTTTCATCACTGAATATCCAAAGTAATTCAATTCTTCAAGTATCAGCTCAAAGGCCATTTTCTCCTTGAAAACGTCCATGTTCCTTCTAGCTGGAAGAAAGCTTTTTCATCTCTGAAGTTTCTTACCATTTTATGTATAATGTTTCCTTTCAATCCAATTCAACATGATTCAATTCAATCCAATCCAATCCAAAAATAATATTTAGAGTATACTCACGATATTTTACTACCTATTCTAGGTTACTATTTTGGAAAGGCTCACAGTTCAATGAGAAAGAAAGAGGATATATTTCACATATTTGAGGCTAATGTTTATGCAATATATTAGTTAAGATAATGCAAGTGATGATAATGCTAGTTTACCTGCTGCAAAAAGTAAACTCTAATATCTCAATGGTGTAGTACAAGTTTATTTCTCACATATGTAAAATCCCAAAGTGGTTTTCCTGATTGTTGCACAGCTCTCCAATTTAGGGCCCAGGCTTTCTGCCTTGTGGCTCTGCTTTCTGCAACATATGAATTCAAACCACCATGATGCGTACATCAGGCCAGAAGGGAAAAGTTGTTTTCATGGCATAAACCTAGAAAGGATACTCATTACTTCTTCCCACATTTCATTGACTAGAATTTAGTTTCCTGAATATACTTAAATGTAAAGGAAACTAGGGAAATGCTGTCCAGCTGTGAACTACACAGTAGTGTTTGACTGGGTAGAATGAAGGTAAGTCTTATAGAAACCTCCATATCCCACAGTGATGAAACAGAGCAGGACCCTGTGGGATCCTCACAGGTACAAATCCTTTCTGTGTTCCCCACTTCTTATTTGTTGGAAATAGACTTCATTCAGCCTCCTTGACCTTCCCTGATTTTCAAAGGGCAGATTCAACAGTTGCTTAACAGGGAAGGGAGGGAATGCAGAAACAAAGGTGCAGGCAAGAAACAATAGTGCAGCTCTGGGACAGGGTCCTGGTTCCTCCTTAAGGGATATACATAACAATACCTTTGAGCTCTTCTGTAGGAAATAAGGCCCCCAGCGAGGTGGAGGAGGATAACTTCAGGCTGAGCATAAGATTGCTGGAGCACTGCCCTCCTACCTCACCATAAGCCACTCAGAAGAAGGTCTGCACACAGTGGAGGATAACAAAAACTCTGACCCCCTCCCCAAATGAGTCTTCCTTTAAAAACTTTCATGATCGAGCAGAATTTTAGGAATTGGTTTTTGGACATGAGTCTGCCTTCCCAGGTTGCCAACCTCCTGAATAAAGCAAGCTTTCCTTTCTAACCAACACGTGTCTCTTGAGTATTGGCTTTCCAGTGGTGAACATCCAAACTTGAGTTCATAACAGTGATACTGAAGAAAGTCTGAAAATTTCCCATTCCTCTAAGATGGACCAAATATGTCTTGGATAATATGTAGCTAGGGTGACTATAACTTCTGACTTGCCAAGGATATTCCTAGTTAACCTTTCTCAATATAAATATAAACAGTGCTCTCTTCGGCTCTCAAAAATGTCCTAGTTTAGATGACAAATTATATGGTCATTTTTACACATAGCAGTCCTTGCCACATATTGCTTTAACCATTTTGAAGACTCTGACTGTAAAGCCACTTATATTCATATCAGATCAGCCACATACTGAAGAAAATTTCATGATGTATGTGTGTTGTCTAACCTAAATCAAGATTTCCACCCCGGCAAGAGACTTTTTATTGCCTCTTTCTTACCTGGTGCGCGAGGAGAGGGGATTAAGAACACTGCTTAAAGGAGCTCCAAAGATGGGCGCGAGCCAGGGGTAACAGCGCAGACCCCAGAGACGGGCATGAGACGCTAAGGCTGCTGCTGCCACCAACAAGAAGGATGTGTGTGAACACATGTCACTATCCACACCTCCCCTCCTGGGAGCCTGTGCAGCCCACCACTTCCAGGGTCCCGTGATCCTGAGACAATTTCCCCGTGAGAATGCACAGCACGCCTTGGACTGGTGCAATGTCATGCTGACCTCTGCTGCCACAGGCTTGCCTTACATCCGTACCCCTCCCTCCCTCCCGGCCTGACTGAGCCAGAGCCCCCAAATCAGGGGCTCCTTTAACCCCCGTACTGTCTGAGCGAAGAACAGATGTCCTCAGGCAACCTACACACAGAGGCGGGGCCAATCCAAAGCTGATACCCAGGAGCTGTGCGAACAAAAAAGAGAAAGGGAAATTTCTCCCAGCAGCCTCAGGAGCAGTGGATTAAATCTCCACAATCAAATTGATGTACCCTGCATCTGTGGAATACCTGAATAGACAAGGAATCATCCCAAATTGAGGTGGTCTTTAAGAGCAAGATATATTATTTTTTCCCCTTTTCCTCTTTTTGTGAGTGTGTATGCGTATGCTTCTGTGAGAGATGTTGTCTCTAAAGCTTTTTGCTTTCACCATTGGTCCTAGGGTTCTGTCGATCAGTTTTTTGTTTGTTTGTTTTACTTTAAAAACATTTTTTTCTTAATAACTATTTTTCATTTTAATATTCAGAGCTGTGCAGATGAAAGTCTCTTGGTGCTCCAGCCAGAAGTCAGTGCTGTGCCTCTGAGGTGGGAGAGTCAACATCAGGACACTGGTCCACAAGAGACCTCCCAGCTGCATGTAATATCAAATGGCGAAAATCTCCCAGAGATCTCCATCCCAACATCAAGACCCAGCTTCACTCAACGATCAGCAAGCTACAGTGCTGGACACCCTATGACAAACAACTATCTAGACAGTAACACAACACCACCCATTAGCAGAGAGGCTCCCTAAAATCATAATAAGGCCACAGACACCCAAAAACACACCACCACACGTGGACCTGCCTACCAGAAAGACAAGATCCAGCCTCATCCACCAGAACACAGGCACTAGTCCCCTCCACCAGGAAGCCTATATAACACACTGAACCAACCTTCGCCACTGGGGAAAGACACCAAAAACAAGGGGAACTACGAAACTACAGCCTGCAAAAAGAAGACCTCAAACACGGTAAGATAAGAAAAATAAGAAGACAGAAAACCACACAGCAGATGAAGGAGCAAGGTAAAAACCCACGAGATCTAAAAAATAAAGAGGAAATAGGCAGTCTACCTGAAAAAGAATTCAGAATAACGATAGTAAAGATGATCCAAAATCTTGGAAATAGAATAGAAAAAATGCAAGAAACATTTAACAAGGACCTAGAAGAACTAAAGATGAAATAAGCAATGATAAACAACACAATAAATGGAATTAAAAATACTCTAGAAGGGATCAATAGCAGAATAACTGAGGCAGAAGAACACATAAGTGACCTGGAAGATAAAATAGTGGAAATAACTACTGCAGAGCAGAATAAAGAAAAAAGAATGAAAAGAACTGAGGACAGT